TCATTTATATAATTTTAGTAAATCTTGCATTTTAAACTGTTAAGGTTGATTTATCTTTTCCGTTAATAACAGAAACTGTATTAAGAATAAACTTTTGTTCTATTAGAAACCACATTATCAGTTTTCTATGATATCAGGAAAGGAATGTTAAACATTAACTAACTTCTTAACTGGCAGTCCAGCATTACTAGCAAATACAACCAGCAGCAGGGAGCTGGGACAGAGCATGCCCCCTCAGGACTAATCTGCATCTGGAATATATTTGTAAGACATATTTTTGCTGAGTGACCAGAAGGTAGCGCTTCACCACTGCAAACAAATGCTTAAGCCCTACAAGTTAACACTAGGCACTAACTTAAGAAATGTCTTTCTCTCCCTAACATTTTGCTCCTTTTTTTGTCAAAAAAAAAAAAAGGTCTTAACGATGAGTTATTTTACAAGAAATTAGGAGGATTATGCTTTGAAGAGAAAATTAATGAAAACACCTTAAACATCAGTTGTCACAAATTATTCATTATCAAGTATGAAAAAAAATTCTCAGACTCCTTTTAAACTTAAATTACATGACTTGGTATTTCCACCCCACAAATTACAAACAGGAAGTAATTTTGACAATAATAAGCATTACTATAAATGAACAAAGAACAAGATTTTTTAAAAAGATAATTTTTGTAAAATATAAAGTCAGCAAAAGGCTTTCAAATATTTTACAAGAAATCAGCCTATTTTATCTCTTGAGTGCTTTACTTCACAATATGATAGCAATATCTCACAATGTATTTAAGAGAAATATATATATTATATAAAACATGGTTATAAATGAGAACACAGCAAAACTGTTATGAAAGTTTCGTTATACAGATCTGCTGATCACATGCAATTGAAAACAATGTTACTTAGTTACTTAGTACGAGCATATTCTCCTTGAAAACCTAAACTGTCTGTCCCTTGGGATCCAGCCAGTGTTCATCTATATACGCACAACTTCAGTTTTTCATTATAATGCCAGCTTGCAAGGGAACCTTTTACAGGTGACAAAGACTAAAGTCTTTGTAAAACTGTGTTTGACTCTGTCCTTTTCAAACTAATACTGCATTAATATGAGTTCTGAGAAGATCATCTGTTTTCATGGCAGTAAATTTTCTCTATGAATGAACTATTCCTAGGACTTTTTATCTGGAGGAAATTTTTTAAAAGACTTTTGTCAAATAGGAAGTTATTACTTTTAACCTTGATGGGAAGGTTATGACTTTATGCCTTCATTTGGGACAATGCTTGCAAATTGCTCCCTGTGTGTAAAATTGTGGCAGGCAGGGATCATTTCCATGAAGGACTCTTACGGCTGCACAACTGCACAGGAGTCTGCAGAAGCTCATGAAGCCATAGTTCTGGGCTGTACATAAACCTTAAACATTAGGGCTTTACACTATGCCACTTTTAAGGTCTTTTTTAGCTAAAATTGTGACTCTATGACTCAGTTTGGATCTGAAACTGAATCACCACTAAGAACAAAGTGAAGAATATGTTTATTCTGCTCACCACTGACCCCTTCAGTTTAGGACACTGAGCGTGGTGTTATCCAAATGCATAAAAAGTCTGCCTCTACACACAGAGCAAATGTGAAAAGTAGACACTAAGAGGAAACCATATCACAAATATATTAAAGGCAACCAGAAAAAGGAACAGAGAGAACTTTACCAGAATTTCATAATATGTGTTATGGACTTTGCAGCCTAGCTGTTTTAAAGACACCAAGCACAGTAACCAATAAATATGCCCAAATGAATAAGCTTATGAGATCAAAATTATTTGACTATAATCTGTCAACGTTATCTGAGGAATAATTACAGAATGAAGATTACTCTGAAGGCAAAATTGCAAATAGACACACAACCCTATAGCATGAGAAATCATCACTATTGTATCTTTTTTTTTTTTGACCGGTAAGGGGATCACAATCTCTGGCCCAGTGTGGTCCGCACCATGCTCAGCCAGTGAGCGCACCGGCCACCCCTATATAGGATCCGAACCCGCGGCCTCGGCACTACCAGCGCCACACTCTCCCGAGTGAGCCACGGGGGAGTATTTCTAGTTCTATAATTTTATGTGGTGTTTGTAGGAAAAATGGTATAAACAAAATTCTATAAGTAAATATTCTTAGGGTCTAGCTATATCTTTTAACTTTCACAAAGTAGTGTGTGAGTTACCATTTTACCAATATATCAATAAAAAGAAATGCATCTTATCTACAGATGCTTGGAAGAAGCATCCTGGAAGAAAAAAAAAATCCTCTAAACACTTAACACTAAAAAAGAAAAACCTAAGCTCTTAATTACTGGCAGTCAACAGTCAATATTTTATTTCTCCAGTTAAACAAAGTGTCTATAACATAGGCTAGCAAAATTCTCATAAGGAATCTTTTTTCTAATTGTGAGTATGCAGATATATTTAACAAATTATAAAAAATATAAAATTAGAAAGTTATTTTTGGAATACTATACTACATAAAAATAGAACAAATTTTGTTTTAATTAGAGAAAAACAGTTGGAAAATTTGTTATCAGAAGATACAGAAGTTATTCTCTTCCCAACACTAGTGAAACAATCCTTGTCACTTCACTAAAAGAATAAAAGCTGTACTGCAGAAATAATCAGAAGTTTAAAATGTATTACTTTTCTAGAAGAAAATAAATGATCAATCTTTCACAATTTGCTACTAACAAGTTGAAACATTTGCTATTTTTTTTCCAACTACTGTGGACTTTCTGCTAGATAAAAAGACTTTAGATTGGGAAAGATCTGTGAATCTCAAAAACTTAAGGGCTTATATTAAACTCTGAATCCTATGATGTTTCAAAAACTGATAAGGACTTTAAGTAGGCTTTACAGAAGATGCTTATTATACTTAGAATTCTATAAGGCTTCTAGGAAACCTTATCATGTATCAATCAAATCCTTTCAACTCAAGCTGTGCAAGTCTTTCCTATTTTAAATGCAAATAGTAGTCAATATTTTTTCAAAAGACTCTACGAAACATAAAGGCAGAAGAGACCATTCTTAAGGGGAGCCTGCAGATGTGGAGCCAGGTGAATGAGTTTACTATACTTTTTCATCCTTCATGCCTCTTATAGCAGCTTTTCTCACTGTCTACAATGGCATAGGGAACACTGATCTATGGCCCAGTCTCTCAGAAAGGCGGCCGACTTCCTCACCGCCCTTAAGTACCTTTGAACACATTCCCCAAGCACAGCAGGCCCTTGTCCTGCACTGCAGCCTGACCACCCACTGTTGCTTGTTGACCAAACACGCAGAGACGGGAGCCTCCGGGACACAGGCAGGATGGGATTCCTTTCAAGCACACCACACAGAAGAATCTCAGCGCCAAAGCCGGGGGCGGGGCAGGCCTATGGAGGCAGAATTACAGATTCCTCGTGATTTAGACCTGTGTCGACAGATAAAAATGCTCTTTTTGATCTTCTGATTCTAGAGAGAAAGATGTGTGTGTGTGTGTGTGTGTGTGTATGAGGGGTCTTCAAAAAGTTCATGGAAAGACTGCATCATCTTTTAATTCTATTTTTTCAGGAATTTTATGCAGTACCCTCATACATGTAAAGCTCTGATAGGGACACTTCTTCAATTCAAAGGGAATCATTTAATCCAATTAAACGAAGGGAGCCACAGTTAACATACCCCTGTTAACTCGCTCCACTGTGGACTCTCCTTAGCAGGTTTCAGGCAACATTTCTGATGTATTTCAACATCACTCACAATAGCCCAAAAAAGGAAACTTATTTTAAAAGCAAAACTACAGGTGTGAACTTTGAAGAAATATTTATTAGCTAACATTGGCTAGTTATGCAAGAAACATAGTTTGTAATAAGTAAGCTGGACAAGTGAATAACCAAAACATAATATTTATGCTTTTATTAAAGTCCTACACTTTCTAGTAGTTACATATATATTTACCTACAGAAAACATGCTTAGAATATATAAGTAAGAGAATTATATAATCTAAGCATGTTTTCTGAAGGTAAAATAGGATATAGAATTCAAATACTTGTAATAATATTTTTAAATTACCAAGTAACACTAGCATTCAATGTATGCTTGGCATTCACTGTCAAAATTTTTTTCTATTAAGGATAGAGAGGACAGACTTAGAAATGAAATGGCTCCCAGCTGCAAGAAGTCTTCTTCCATATGTAGTAAGCCACGGCAGAGGAAAAGAACCAGCTGCTAGGATAACAAATTGAAAAGGTCCTTTTGACATAGCCTTTTTGGCCTGTCTAATCTAAAAAAGACAGATCATTCATTGTAAGATGAATAGAATCTATTATAAAATAGAAGAAACAAGAAGAGAGACCTTAACCCAACTCTTAGGTATGATATTCAACAGCTGTTATTTTACTACACAGCATCTACAAAAGAATGCTATGCAATTCCTAAAGTAAATCAAATTCCCAAGTTGTAGGTTACTGACTTTATTTGTTTAAAAAACTGCTTTCAATTACTAGTATTAATTATTAGTCTATTAGCCTTAATTTTACTTTGGAGGGTAAAATTGTCTTTACAATCAAAAAACTATGATCTGTACTCTATAATAAAAACTGTTTATATAAACCTATTCTATTCACAAGCAACAGTGACAATTTCTAATGGTATACATTTCAAATTTAATTCATGGTACATTAAAACATCGAGTGGGTTTTTTTCTCTTTCTGAAAAAAAGAACAACAGGGAAAGGAAAATCAGACTACTGCTCTGCTGGAGAGAAGACAATTTTGATTACAATCATAAACAGGTACTTTTCCTCTACTTCCCTGTCCAGAATCTACTTTCTCCTATATATCTCTTTATAGCTTCTAAATCTTAAAGCAAGTAAAAATCCCACTTAACATTTTATCTTCTACAGCCAATATTAAAAATACTCTATTGCCACAACATGCAAAAGACCAAGTGCACAGGTGAAGTTGCGCCGGATGCCAGCCACCAGCAGACAGACGCGACCTGCACACCCGACGTCCAGAGGCTCTTAGCTGAAGGGAGGGAAGACGGAAATCTCATTCACATCTCGCGTCTGTACTCGCTGCAGTTGGGCCTCTCCTCTTTCTTTTAAACCAATCTCTACCATTCTGGGTTCCAGCTGTGATAAACATTCAGGAGAGAAACTGTTTTTTGAATCTCCTGAAAATAAACTCCATAGAAGAAATTTCCTACTGTACAACCACATCATAACAACTTTAAAATAAAAATTGTAATCTTACTAATAAATTTAACATATGTATAACAACACACATTTACTGTCTTTCTAACCACGGAAATATTTTTATAGTTCCATAGAAAATTCAATGAATCTGCTAACAGTTTCTATTGAAGGTTGCAATTTAATCTAGCACACAGGAAGTCTACCCAACCCTGCATCATGGTAATACCAGAATTACATGTATTGACCCCACTAATTAAAAAAAAAAAAAAAAACTATATGAAATGTGTACATAAAGATCACAGCTGTTTTTTTTTAAATATAAAAATACATCGTTTAGCTATACTGTACAAATTCACAAAATTGTAGATAAATTGTAATAATATACTTTATGATNCCCAGGAAGCGTGCACCATCCACATCAGGCACAGCTGTCCTGTCCGTGCACGACCACGCACATGTGCCTTTGCACTGAGTATCACTTAAAAAGCAATAGTATCAATGTACGTAGAAAGATAACGGAGAGACTAAACTGCTTCTGATTTCAAAACTTAGCAATATTTGACATTAAGAAGTTACTGATAATATTTTAGGTGATAACAATGGTATTTTGATTACGGTTTTTAAAAAGAGTCCTTATCTCTGAAAATTGCATACTGAATTGATTATGGTGAAGTGATGTGACCGCTTCAGTATAATCCAGGTGAGGAGTGGGGAAGACAGGGGGAGGGCACAGAAGAGATAAGACTGGCTGTGAGCTGGTAACTGCTGAGGCTAAGGTGAGCACGTGCGGCCATAGATAACGTCCAGATGGCAGGGAAGGAATCCATCAGGTAAAGCTATGGTTCTCTTTATCTTCAAGCAAGACCTTTGGTAATGGAATATTGGTTATCAGATATTTCAGGTAAAGATGTGACAATTAGATAAAATTGTTTGGAATTTTTCTGATTTCAAAAAGTCTCTATCTTGTATTCATAACTTACACATACTTCCCAGAAATACAAATACTTTCATACCAGATTATTTATGCAGG